ATTATAGGCCCATGGTTTACATCTCAATATGACACATATGCTCCTGCTGCAAGTGCTGCTACCTTGTCCTTTGAAGAAGCTTTTCCTTCCTCAAAACTACACAAGGCAATATTATTTTGCCAAGAAGAAATTTTGTCTTACATATATGATAATTTAATCATCCACACTCCACAATCATTGAGTAATCCTATGTAAGTTTAAATTTATTTTGTTACAAATGACAAAAATCAAAATATAATTGTAAGTGTATTTATTAACAGTTTAAAAAATATTATTTTAGAATTACTTCTGCTGAAGATTTGCAAGCTAAATATGAAAGAATTATTCTTGCTAGTTTACAAGGCTACTGTTTATATTTACAAAAACTTACAACAGCTCAAATTAAAGAAGCCGAAAAAAGTAACAAAAAATTGTTGTCTCATCCCAAATTCTGGAAATATTCAAAAAACAAAATTGCATTGATAAGAACTTGTTTTTTTAGAACTTTAATTTGCATTTGTCAAAATGCACAATTTTTATTATTAGAAGAATCATCAAATTTAAGTTCTGCCATCTTTAACAATTTAGAAGAAACTGATCCTGTTGTGCTACAATCTGTTTGGGGTGCAGCTCTTAACGTACTAATTACTTTAGAAGATTGCTGGTCTCATATTAATTTAGAAAAACAATTAGTAGTAAAACTTTTTTCTATTTTAAAAGCTGGAGGAAGAAATGTATTTACAATTTATCCTAATATTCTTCCTCTTTTAAGTAAATTGCCTATTAGTAAATTGAACAATAAAGAAGTGTTTTTCGATAGTTTTCTTGAAAATATGGAAAGGGGTATTGAAATTAATTTATTCAGTCAAAGTATAATTGAAGGTAAACTGATGGCTAATACTTTTGTGGAATGCTTCAAGTTTATTATTCTGCAAAATATAATGAATGCAGAATTTTGCTCTGCCGTCATTGTTAAACACTTGGCTCCAGTGAGTGACAAATTATTCGAAGAAAAGATTAAAGAAGCAGTTAAAATGCCTTTTTGGATTCAAATCGCCTGTTTGGTTCAAAGTTGGCATAAAAACAGTGTTTTAGTGAATTCAGTGTATGCAAATTTTTTAAATGATTTTTTTGACTCTCTTTTACCGTTATTCATAAATCGGCTTGACACTCAAGTTTCACAATCACTAATTGACTATGTTTTAGAAAATCAAGTACAATTTTTGAACATTTTGCTACATCCTGATCAATTTATTTTCAAAAGCAAAGACCGTGTCAAATTTGCTGATGTAAATCAAGCAGAAGAAAAAACTGAAATCGTTATCAAAAGTTCTTCTGAATTTAGTTGTTCTGAACAACTAAATAAATTTATTAATGAACTAGTGAATGTATACTTTAAAAATGCTATTCATAGGAAAGAAAAAAGGTTTATTCAAGCAATAAAAAAAATTATAGACATATTTTTGCCAAAGTTAGTATTTGAACAATTGGTTTTAACTGTTCAAGAATCGACATATTTTAAACTGTTCAGTAGCTATTTTTCTAAATGGTTGATTGACGAAGAAATGAAATGTGATGAACTTATTAGTATATCATTTAATCTTCTGAGTTTTGTAACTAGTGATGAAAGACAATATATTTTGGAAGAACTATCTAATAGTTGGCTAACTGATTCTTTACAATGCAGCATTTGCAATAATCTTTTAAGTTATTCTAATAATGATTACATAATTACTTGGGTTAAAAGTGAGAAATTTTCAAAAAGTATATATAATTTAATTAACCGTTATATAAATGGAAGCATGGAAGAAATACCTTTACAAGATAGCATTGTAGCTCTTCTTATGGCTAAAAATGATAAAAAAGGTTTGTAAGCGAGTAATATTATATTTCAAATATATCTTTTCATCAAAGTTAACTACTGAAAAATAAAACTAAAACTAAATAAATTTATTTAATAAAGTTTTTATTGTAATTATATTAATTTCAGAATTCATCATTCAAGAATCGGTTGTACTTTCAGTAATGGATATATTGAGGCATAAATTGGAAGAACCTGGTGATAAATCGTATGCCATTGAATTGTCCCAACAATTAATTTTAAATGCTGAATCCGTTCATGTTTCTGAACATTCATTTTTACTTTTGGTTGCACATCTTTTTAAACTGTCTTGCTGCAAATTAAATGGGGAAAAAATACTACAAACGTGTGAAACTGGATTGAAAAAAATTTTTTCATTAAAATCAAATAAAAATGATGCTATAAAAATAGCAAATATTTTTTCAGAAATGATAAGAGAAATAATTATTGATGAAATGGTAGATTACCCGGTTCAACAAGTAATTACTAATCTAAAACTTTATTTAAATGTAATGGTTGGAGAAAATCTTAAACTCGATGATTTTCATCATTCTGATGAAAATTTTGATATTATTGTGGATGTGATTGGAATTTTTTTAAATAAAGAAAACAAAAATTTTTCGTGGTATTTTCAAAG